TGCGTGCGCGTGTGCGTGTGCGTGTGCGTGTGCGTGTGCGTGTGGGTGTGCGTGGGCGTGTGCGTGTGGGTGTGGGTGTGGGTGTGGGTGTGGGTGTGTGTGTGTGTTTGTTTGTTTGTTTGTGTGTGTGTGTGAAATTATAATCACACTTTTCCTCCCCAGATGAGCCCTACTCATGATCTGCCACTTTGGTGGCTCAAGCACAACTTTGCCCAGAGAGAAAAGGCCGAGGCATCATAGGAACTTTGAGTGTTGAGGTTGGCTGAGGTTGCACGATCACTTTAGGGTTGTTTGTGTAGACTTTGGCTACCTCGCAATTTCGCATGGTAGCGGAGCTGAAAGCTCTAGGACTTTGGTAGAATGGCAGCTTTAGGAGAAGATGGTGACTTTGCAGGAAAGCTTAGGCTTCCTCTCCCAGACAACTTTTCCGGTCAGCCTGCAGACTGGGAAGAATGGTCGTGGAACTTTAAAGCGTACATTTCGATGTTCGAAGCAGGCGCAGTGACTTTGCTCGACAATGCCGAAGCTTTGACAACCGAGTTCACAGATGCACACCTTGAAGTAACTTTGGACACAGGTGATGTGGATGTTGATGCAACGCGTAGTCGTGTACTTTTCAGTCGCAAGTTGCATTATCTACTTTCTCAGCTTGTGAAGGATTCGGCGAAACTTGTCGTTCGTCAGAACGTCGGGTCGAATGGCTTTGAGACCTGGAGAAGACTTTTCAACAAGTTTGCCTTGCCTGATGCAACCAGGTCGACAGCTTTGCTCACGCAACTTTTGGATTTCAGGTTTGGTCCAAACACGTTTGAGCAGGACTTTAACGTTTGGGAAACAATCAAGGTGAAGTACGAGAAACAGGCAGGTCAAGCTTTGCCAGATGGTGTTTTGGTAGCTACTTTGCTGAACAAGACAACAGGAGCTTTGCAGCAGCATCTTCGCTTGAACGCCAAAACTTTGCAAACGTATGAGCAGGTTCGCGAGGTCATCTTGGAGTACTACAGGTCTAGACTTTTGGTGAATCCGTTAGCGCAGACCTCTGCCTCGACCACTTTCGCAGGAGGCGGACAAGCGCCCATGGACATTGGGTATCTAGGAAAGGGCAAAGGAAAGAAAGGAAAAGGAAAAGGAAAGGGCAAAGGAAAGAAAGGAAAAGGAAAGGACTTTGGTCCCATGAAAGGCAAAGGAAAAGGCAAGAAAGGCCCCCACTGGAACTTTTTCGGAAGTTTGAAAGGAAAGAGCAAAGGCAAAGGAAAGAACTTTGGTTCGTCGTCGGGTGCTTCGGCATCGTCGAGTGCCTTGTGCTGGACATGTGGTAAGTCAGGTCACTTTGCTAGCAAGTGTCCGCTGAACAGAGTGAATGCTGTTGAGGGAGAAGAGAGTGAACTTTACGGTCTCCAGGAAGAAGAGTCTTACTTTGGTGAGGCCCCTTGGGACGACTGGTCTGAGTGGACAGTCGGAGCACTTTTCGATGAGAGTTGGGAGTCATGGGATGACTCACTTTGGGATTCCTCGTGGGATTCCTGGGACTGGTATTCGTATCAGGACTTTGCAGGTTGGAATGAGTGGTGGCCTGAAGCCACCTCCTCAAAGGAGACTTTGTCACCGCAACAGCCTCAGAAGCCTAAGGAAGAGTCAACTTTGCAGCATGGAGCTCAGCAGGCTCCAGTTTCAGCTGTCACTGTGACAGCCCCTCCAGGACTTTCCAAGGCAGCGCCCAAACCTAAGGCCAAGAGCTCACTTTCCCCGAGCTCTTTCTTGATGTCGGCACTCGTGCTTGGCAACTTTGGTGTTGGTCAGTCGTTTGGTTTTGAAGGCATGTTGACTGGTGATGTTGACTTTTCGTATGGCGAGAAGCGTGCGACCTTTTCGTCGGTTGGCATGGCGCCGTTGGAAACCTTTTCGCTGAATCGAAACGACTCGGTGCCTCAGAAACTTTTCAGTGTGTACGATCTTGGAGTGTCGAACCTGAACACGACATTCCGGGATCATGCTTTGGAGGAACATTTGGTTGCAGCCACCTTTGACGAGAATGAGCCCTGGATACTTTTTGATTCAGGAGCAGCGACCCATTGCTGTCCTCAGGACTTTGCTTCGGAGTGGCCGCTTTTGCCACTTTCAGGGAAGCCACCGCCTTTGAGATCCATTTCGGGTCAACCCTTGACGGTTTACGGTAGAAGGCTTGTGAAGCTTGACTTTGACGGTCAGCCTTGCTTTCTTCACTTTTACGTATGCGACGTACCGTACTGTGTGGTTTCGGTTGGAAGACTTTTGAGACAAGGCTTTCAAGTGACGATGACAAGAGAGTCTCAGGTACTTTCAACCCCTGATGGAAACCAAGTTCCAATAATCAGACAAGGGTCACTTTTGTTCCTTCGGCCTACTTTGGGAGCTTTCAACAAGGATGAGTTTGTTGAAGTTTGCAACCTTCTTCACGACTCCAATGAACAAGGTACTTTGATTGCTCCAACCCAGTTTAACCCCGTTTACTACAATGCTGATCGCTGGGAACTTTCGGGTAACACCCTCACAAGAATACACAAAAGATCTAGAGCGACTTTCTTTTCTCC